TGTGCTGGCTTCCCCAGTATTGTGTACTGTCTTACTCTTCACCAAAGTTACCACTTATCTATTGTCTGTTTAGTTCTCCCCTCAACCCCTCCCATCCCTCGTAACCGACAAAGATTGTTTCTCAGCATAATGTCCTCCAGTTTCATCCATGTTATGAGATGCTTCACAGATTCATCATTGTTCTTTATCGTTGCATAGTACTCCACTGTGTGTATGTACCATAGTTTGTTTATCCTTTCATCTGTTGATGGGCATCTAGGTTGTTTCCATCTTTTTGCTATTGTGAACAAGAAGAGTAAAAAGTTTCATTTTATTTTAAACACAGATTGAAAAGTATGGATTCCCTTCTGATCTTAGCCTCTCACCTCGAGAAAGCATCCAGCTTTATGACACCATGGTTGAAGCCTGGAAAACTTGGCCCAGAGCTCAGGTAAATAATAATCATGGAAGTGAATTTGAATTGATGCAGTTAAAGAGGATGATAACATTACTGTTCAGGTAAACAAACTCATCCTTTCTAATTAACTTGAATCTGATCTTTTAAAATTATCAGTGGCCCCTTTCTAAAATAAGTGGCCCCTTTTCAGACATTATTCTTAACATTTTATGTTTTATTTTAATGGGGTGGAGCACCATTGAATCCTGAATGTATTTCTTCTTTCAATTTCTGGGATTCATATTTCAGGGTCCTTTACCTCTGGGATTTATTTTACTTCATTTTCTTTCACTGCACTCTTCTCCTTGCTCTGCACTCTGCTGGTCAGTTTTCGGCTTCTCCTAGCCCTTCCTCTGCATTTTGTCCCTTGGAGAGTTCATCCATGTTAATACATATGGAGAGGTAAAAAGAAGTTCAACAGCTCTACCCTTGAAGCTTGTAATGTTGTTAATAAAACACATGATGAAGAAGCATCTTTGGATGTTCTTGTGTGCTTTTCTTTAATTCTGCGGTATTTGTTTTCAAGGAATTGTGTCCAGAGGAATTCATTCATTTTAAGAACAAAATAGTCATTAAGAAGTTGGATGCTAGAAAATATGAAGAGAGCTTAAAGGCAGAATTAACCAACTGGATTAAAAATGGCCAAATAGAGCAGGTAATTTTCACAGAGGTTGCATTGTTCAGATAATATGATTTTCTGTTTTTACGTTTCATCTTTAATTTTCATTTTAGAATTTTAAGTGGAACGTAAAGTCTGGTGACTCTGAGGTACGGGGAGAAAAGAGAATGAGAGAGAGGAGCAGAATTGATCTTTTTCGTATCCTCAGTGTCTCCTAAAACATATGCCAGAGACTCCTGGGTCCTTCTAGATGCACTAACAGAAAAGAGCAGAGGACTTACCGTCCACAGAGACAGGCTTGTTGGTGCCTCGGCCGTGGAGCAGCTGGTCTCAGAGTAACAGAAGCTGGGAAGGATTTTTTACCCCTTTCTCTTTTTGTCTTAGAGTGTGAGTTTTAAGCTGTTTTATTTCAAGTTGTAGGAGCTGTTTGTGCATTAGAACCTTAACCCAGAGCCATGTTAGTTATGAATATTTATTTTAAGTAGGCTGATGGCCTTTATGTTTTGATTTTGCTCCATTGTCGCATGCTGAGATTTCCCAGAAAATCGGACTATGTATATGTCACATATATCAGACTTTTCTCATGTAACTGTCCATTATTTTTAACTTAGAAAACCTGTTTCCACCCAGAAACAAGTTAATGCAATTAACTTATATCTTCTTCTAGTTATTTTGTCATTAAAACAACAAAAACAACAAAATAACAAAAAAAAACTTTTAGGTGTATTTGGAAGTTATTTTTCTACAGAATAACGGAAGAAGCTTTTGTCCGCTCCTGTAGAGCCAACACCAGTCACTGAACAATCCTTCTCCTGATTTGTGCCACCTTAAAAAATCGCATATAGAAAAATAGGGGCACACGTCGATGGATGAACAACATAATGAACATAATTAATGTCACTGACTTGTACATGTGAAGATTGTTGAAATGACTACTGTTTTGTCACTCATATATGTACCACAAGAAAACATTGCATGTCAATGTCATATATAATATATATGTATACATGTATTTTTTTAGTATATTGGTTTGTCTACTTCCATAAGACTATTTTAAGGCGCTAAAGAAACATAGGTCAGACAATTATGAAAATTTTAGCTAAAAATATTGTTTTCTTTGTTGTACAGAACTTGAGTCATTTTTTATTCGTTGCTGCAGGCCAAAATGGTACTGAGGAAGCTTAGACCAGATAAAATTGATAATTCAGAAGACATGGTACAAATGTTTCCACTTCTTGTTGAGAAACTAAGAAAATTGGGGAAGTTACCTGCACTGTTTTTTATGTAAGTTGCTTAATTTGTTTTTGTTTGTAATTTCTATTAGACTCATTCTGTTAAGGTGAGTAGAGTTATAGAAACTTTACTTTTGAAAGCTAGCATTCAGTACTATTTATTATGCTCGTTAACTGTTAAAGATCTTATTTTAGAAAGCATGCCTTTTGAGTTCAAGTATTGTAAAATATTTTTACTTGGGCTATTAGAAATTACTTTGTCTGCTACTCCAGTTTTTGTTTTCTTTTTACTGTAAACTGTTGTATTTTTATTTAGATCTTATTAATTTTCAGTAACTCCTAGTTTTTTTAAAAAAAATTAAATGCCTATGCACACAAATATCACACATGAAATTAAAGTATCCTCATAATATGCTATTTATGAACAGGGTATATTTCTGTTTTTCATTTATCATAGTTATCAAACTATGCACTGATTCTTTGCTAAGTTTTATATGCTGTAACACAAAATTGCTTAAAATAGAATATAATTGTCCAGTTTTGAAAGTGGAAAGCATAATTGGTTAAATAGACAACACTCTACCAATGATGCTTTGTTACTAATTACTGTATGTCTGTTTACATGCGAGCATATATATCATTAAGATTTGCAACCTGAACAAGATTCTGTGACTTTATATAAAGCTTCCATGACTTAATGCAGTTTTGAAATTATTTACAGTAAGGAAAGTCTTGTGTTCTGATCCCAGACTATGTTATAAATGTTATTCCAGGGTATAGAATGTTGTCCATTATATAGTACTATTGGGAAAAGGAATAAATAATTGTTTACTCTCAGGAAGTTACAATGCTCACCTTGATTACTTTCTGGCATAACTATAGATTTTAGTTAGAAACAACAGCAATTCTATACCTCTGGGATATTTCTGAAAGACTACCCACCCACAAAATAGAAATCCCAAAAGAACTGGGTTCATTAGTCAGATACTCATACAAAATATTTAAAAAGTAAAATAGTACACAAAAACATTAAAGATTTGATTTTACTCGGAGAATTAGATCTTGGCACATTTCTTTGAAATTTTGGGCCCTTCACAAAACATCCTTGAAAATCCTTGGTCTTACACAGCTGGATTTATTCCTAAGTAGCCTTGGTGGCACAACGGTTAAGCACTTGACTGTTAACTGAAAGGTTGATGGTTCGAATCCACCCAGAGGCTCCATGGGGAAAAGACCTGGCAGTCTGCTCTCGTAAAGATCACACCTAGAAAACACTATGGGGTAGTTCTACTCTGTAATACATGGGATCTCTAGGAGTTGGAATCAACTCAACAGCATCTAACAACAGCAGCCCCAGTTCATCAAGAACTCTGAAGACTTGTTGACACTCAAAGTAGACCTCTGGGAGGTCTACCCTAATTGGAGCAACCTGCTCTAACTGGTTCTAGAAAGAAATGCCTGCTGCGTATTTAGTGCTTGACACCTGTATCAGGGCATTCTGAGGAACACACACTTCATGGCCAAACCCAAGTTTGGATCCCAGCTCTGTCCCCTGTTAGCTGTGTCATTTCTAGACAATTACATTACCACGTTGAGCCTTAGTTGCCTCATTGGCAAAATGAGATGATAACAACAATAATACAGAGGATTGGGGTGAGAATTAAACAAAGTGTAAAAGCATTTAGTACTCCAATCTCTAGACTGCATTCTTTATAGACATGTTATCAAATAAATTTAAGATACAAAAATATCTCCGTGTGATCTAAATTTTAAAAATGGAGTAGTGATAAAATGATATCATTTAATATCAGTAATAATGTGCCTGGACCATAGTAACTGGCATTAATGCAAAGAGACAGGCAGGCAGTGTAATGTCCTCGTTAAGAACATGGGCCAGACCCTGTCATACCAACTGTGGGATTTGGGGCAGGTCACTTAAACTCATTATGTCTCCATTTTTTCATCTGCAAAGTAAGGGTAATAATAACACCTTGGTCATAGGGTTGTTGCAAGGATTAATTGAGTTAAAATATTTGAGCCCTTTAGATTAGCGCTGACAATTCTAAGTACAATATAAGTGTTCACTGTTGTTATTATCTTATTGTCTACCATATCAAATATCTTGCCACGTGGATTTGACTGTGACTTTCTTAATCTTTACTTCGCCAGTGTGTCAATTCATTCACTCTTCTCCAGCTAGCAACGTTCCCTATTAATGCTAGCTCTGTAAAGACTTTAGAAAAGTCTTTTGCCTCATAGTTTAAGAAGATTTATTGTGTAAACACAATCTAATAGTTGCTGTAATAAGGTATGGGTAGAGCAGTGATGTAGGCTATTGGCTACTTAGAGCCACAACATTTTGCCAACAAGGTATTGTAGGCAAATAAAACTTCCCTGGATTTTTCAGTGCTCCTGGAAGATGGCCTAGCTTCCTGCCACAGGGAAATGCCAATGATATAACGATCAGGAATATTTGATTTTATTCCCCTATAAACATTTTACTCTTCACATACCATGAGAATTAGATCTGTAGCTGTTTGTCTAATTAATTGCCCAGATCAGAGATTGCCAGATGGTTTCAGCCTGGGCTAGGTCCCTAGAGTAAGTCCCAAGGTGTCAGGAAGACTGGAGTGCTATCTTTGTAGGTGTTTGCATTTCAAAAGGTATAAAGCCCAGACCCTGAAGACATCTCTAAGTCATACAGGCCAAGGACGCCTGGGTTTATCTGGTCCCTGGAAAGAAGTAGTCACATTCCAAAAGGGTAGGTTGAGGATCTGTGATCTTTTTCTCCTGTCTTAAAGAGCAAACGTTTGCCTTCTGTTCTGTTCTGTTTTTTTTCATCTTTTAGAAGGGGCCCGCTTGGCTGTCTCTCTCCTGTGTATAAAAGGAGAAAATCTATTGTCCTCTGTCCCTCACCTATGGTGTGTCTGATCACTCTTATGGGAAACATTTTCATTGACTCTTGTTGCTTTGCTCCAACAAGAAAAAATATTTATCTTCTACGTTTTGTACGAGTAAGGCCTGGGTAAAGGGAGCTGATGCACTTGTTATTTACTCTAAGGTGGTTGATAAGAAGTCTGTCTGTGATCCATAATACATAGTACGTGCATTATGGAAAAAATAATGAATATTAAAAAACCAACAAGTATACGTTAAGATGATAGCAGTATTTGGATTTATGGTTTGAGTTCTATGTGGTATTATTCTCAAGGCAAACATTCTTTTCATTTGTTTCAAGATTCAATTTAAGAGTTGTAGAAGAAAGGGCTCTAAGTGTAAATGCTTTTCTGGAGGACAAGCAGGAGACAAAAAGGCCTCCCAAAGCTGATAAAGAGGCCCACGACATGGCTAACAAACTTCGAAAAGTTAAGAAATCCATGGAGAAGCAAAGGATAGTGTAAGTATTTATCTAAACAAATGGGCCATTAAAGGGTTAAAAGACAAATTCCAAAGGGAAACATACTTGGGATGTGGTACACGAGGTGGATCCAATCATTGCTTGACCTTCTTTCCAAAATGAACAAGTTTGGATGGGAGAATGGAGCGAAGACAAGCGACCATAATCGTATGTTCCTAACTTGTGTAGCTCAGTCTCATTAGTACTTGGGAGAGGCAGGACCATAGCCTACAAACCTAGGTAGATTATATAATCTGACAATATGTTCAATTCGTCCCTCAAAATAAGTGTATCTTTGACACACATGTGATTTATAACTCTCAGTCAAGCCCCTGGAAAGTTTAAACTTAGTCTGCACACATTGATTTGAGTTATAACATGGAAGTCTCACTGATTTATTATCACAGTCACATAGGTGAGTGTAGAATGGGTTCTAGAATGGATTGAAATGCCATTATACTTAATAGGACTTCGCTGTGGTCACTCCGCTTCCTTGTTCCTAATGTCTACTTCTGATAATTCTATGTCCCAAGTATTTATTTTCTACTTATTTTACTTTCCATCTTTAGCTACTCACTAGTTTAGATGCAGAGGTTCTGTTTTTTGGAGTATAGATTGGCCACTCTCCAATCTAACCAACATATGATCTTTCTGACATTCAAATTGATCAAAATGTTCTATGCTCAGTCTTCTTCCTTCTTCTTTGCTGTGCTGATGAAGTCTAAAATGCATGATTATTGTTGATATACCAACATGTGTTGGTCCTTGCCTTTATGTCTTTAGCGTCACTTCCAATTACTCCTGGTAATGTTCAACGTTGGTGGTTTACCTCACATGACTTGTTCTTCCACCTCTGTACTTTTTATGAACTGACTCGTGTACCTAGAGTGCTTTCCTTCCTGATTGCCCCCAAATGTTGTACTTATAACTTTTGCTATGTCCTCTTTGAATCTTGCCCTGATTCCCCCAGACAGATGTAGTACCTTCCTTCTGAGCTCTTCCTACACTTTCAAGAGTCAGTAGATCAATTATTATAATGAATTGCGGTTGTTATTATATCTTTTTTATTTACCCTAAATTGTAAGCGTCTCTATAAAGAGACCATGTAATTTCCTCTTTTTATCTCCACGGCTTAGCACATTGCCTAGCAGGTAATAGTTGTTCATTGTCTGACAGGTAGTACTTGTCTCATGAATATGTATTTTTAAAATAAATGGTAGATATTTCACTCAAAGTTGAACTAGCTCTTATAAGGAAGGAGAATGCTCTGGATTTGGCAATATGGAGCCAGGAGGACACCTACCTGACCTCCATGCCTAATGTCAGAGACTGAGGAAGATAAAATGATCATCATGTTAGTGAGTCGCAGGGAAAGCAAGATCCTCTGAAGAGAATTGCATTTTGTCTACAACAAAAATGGAAGGGAACATTCAGAGAACTGTACTATGAGTACATAGGGGAATTTTTTTGGTGAGATACCATAATTCTAGAGGCTAATGAGGAAGTGCGTTAGAGGAAGGAGGGTGAGTCAGGATAGGTACATGGTAAGTGTGAACATTTGGGTGATGAATATGATCTGGAAAGTCTTGAGCTTCCTATAGTGGCTGAATATGAATATTCATTACTTAAAATTTTATTTTTATAAAGAGATGAAAAAAGTCAGAAAAAGCCCAGAAAAATGGATCAAAGCTTAATACTTGAAGCTGAACGTAATAATCTACTGAAGAGTCTGGAGAAGAACCTGGGAATTCCTCAGGACTGCACATATGCTGATCAAAAAGCAATAGACATTGAGGTCAGCACTTAGAATTGGAACCATTCTCTAGGAAATTATGTCCTCCATCAGCTATAATTGTTCCATGTAGCTGCAATGCATGTTAAAAAGGATTTATAGACTACTTCTTGTTAGTTAACAGTTTACCCCTGAGAGTGTCTGTGCTTTCATTATTTCTGTCTATTATACTGGTTTATAGCCTAAATTCTAGAATTCAGTCTCATGTATTTTATTTGAATGTTGGCCATATTTGAGAATACGTGGTCAAATACACTTTTAGTAGTACTCACAGAATTTCTCAAAATCAGAGACTTCTATAATATCCAGGTCTTTCACACACGAGTCATTAAAATATCTAAAAGTGTTATGCCATTTCTTCTTTAAAATGTTTTGTTATGAAAATAAATAATGCTCATAGTAGACAAGTTTGAAAATACAAATTAGCTGTAATAAAAGCAGTGTTATCACTTAGAAATAATCATTTCCCCTCTGGATGAAACTTTTTCTGTTCCTTTACATACACCAAGCACGCATGCATGCACACACACACACGGTTTAAACATATACCGTATTTTTACACAAATAACGCCCACCTTCTATGTTCATTTGGCAACTGCTCCCTCCCCCCGAGGGTATTTTCATAAGCATGCTATGCTAATTTTCTTAAAGCAACACGTAAAAAATGTTGGCATAGCTGTGCTTACGAAAATACCTCGTGGGGAAGGGAGAGGTTGGCAAAAAAAGTAGAAGACACGTGTTACTTGCGTAAAAATACTGTACGTACTCATTGCATGTATTTTTAACAAAAATCAGATTTTATTGTATATGTTATTTTGTAATACGTTTTGTCTGTTACTAATGTGTTCATTTTTAATAGTCATGCACTTATAATTTTAATGACTCCTTGATAGTCCATTGTATGGATAACTGTAATGTAGGTAACTAGTCTTTTTTTAAATTTTACTATGTTTTAGGTGAAAGTTTACAATGCAAATTAGTTTCTCATTCAAAAATCTATACACAAGTTGTTTTTGTGACATTGGTTGCAGTCCCTGCAATGTGTCAGCACTCTCCCCCTTTCCCTTTCCACCCTGGGTTCTCTGTGCCCATTTGTCCAGTTTTCCTGTCCCTTCCTGCCTTCTCATCTTTGCTTTGGGGCAGGTGTTGCCCATTTGGTCTCATATTGCCCATTTAAACTAAGAAGCACATTCCTCACATGTGGTATTGTTTGTTTTATAGACCTCTCTAATCTTTGGCTGAAGGGTGAACTTCCGGAGTGGCTTCAAATCTGAGTTAAAAGGGTATCCGGGGGCCATAGTCTTGGGGGTTCGTCCAGTCTCTATCAGACCAGTATGTCTGGTCTTTTTTTGGTGAATTTGATTTTTGTGCTACATTTTTGTCCCACTCTGTCCAGGACCCTCTACTGTGATCCCTGTCAGAGAAGTTAGTGGTGGTAGACGAGTATTATCTAGTTCTTCTGGGCTCAGGCTGGTGGAGTCTGTGCTACTTGTGCTCCATTAGTCCTTTGGACTAACATTTCCCTTGTGTCTTTGGTTGTCTTTATTCTCCTTTTCTCTGGATGGGATGGACAAGTAGATGTACCATAGATGGTTGCTTGCAGGCTTCTAAGACCTCAGACGCTACTCACCAAAGTAGGATGTGGAACATTTTGTATGTGACTTTTGTGATGCCAGTTGACCTAGATGACCCCCATGACCATGGTCCTGAGCCCTCAGTCCCAGTAACTCAGTTCCTCAGGGTGTTTACATGTGTCTATGAAGCTTCTATGACTTTGCCTTGGTCAAGTTGTGCTGACTTCCCCTATATTGTGCACTGTGTTTCCCTTCACCAAAGTTAACACTTATCTGCTATCTACTTAATGATTTCCCTATCCCAGCCCTCCTCTCCCTTGTAACCATCAAAGAGTGTTTCTTTCTGTGTGTAAGCCTTTTCTTGAGTTTTTATAATAGTAGTCTTATACAGTATTTGTTCTTTCTGTTGACTTATTTCACTCAGCATAATGCCCTCCAGATTCATCCATGTTGTGAGATATTTCACAGATTCACTGTTCTCTATCACTGCGTAGTATTCCATTGTGTGTATGTACCAAAATTTGTTTATCCATTCATCTGTTGATGGGCACTTAGGTTTTTTCCATCTTTCTGCTATTGTGAATAATGCTGCAATGAGCATGAGGGTGCATATGTCTATTTGTGTGATGGCTCTTATTTCTCTAGGATATATTTCTGGGGGTGGGATTTCTGGATCGTATGGTGTTTCTGTTTCTAGCTTTTAAAGGAAGTGCCATATCTTTTTCCATAGTCGTTGTACCATTTTGCATTCCCACTAGCAGTGCATAAGAGTTCCAATCTCCCCACAACCTCTCCAACGCTTGTTATTTTCTCTTATTTTCATTAGTGTCAGTAATGTCGGGGTGAGATGGTATTTCAGGTGGTTTTGATTTGCATTTCTCTGATGGCCAATGACTGCAAACAGTTCCTCACGTGTCTATTTAGCTGCCTGAATGTTTTCTTCGGTGAAGTGTCTGTTCATAAGCTTGCCCCATTTTTCAATTGGATTACTTGTGTTTTTGTTTTTGAGGTATTGCAGTATCTTGTAGATTTTAGAGATTAAACTGTTGTCTGATATGTCATAGCCAAATTGTTGTTACCAGACTGTATATTCTCTTTTTAATCTTTTGGTGAAGTCTTTTGATGAGCCCAAGTGTTTAACTTTTAGAGCTCCCAGTTACCTAGTTTATCTTCTGGTGTTTGTATATTGTTAGTTATGGTTTATATTCTGTTTATGCCATGTACTAGGGCCCCTAGCATTGGCACTATTTTTTCTTCCATGATCTTTACCCTTTTAGGTTTTATATTTAGGTCTTTGATCCATTTTGAATTAGTTTTTAGTATGGTGTGAGGCATGAGCCCTGTTTCATATTTTTACAGATGGACATCCACTTTTGCCAGCACTGTTTGTTAAAGAGACTGTCTTTTCCCCATTTAATGGACTTTGGGCCATTGTTGAAGATCAGGTGACCATAGGTGGATTTACACCTGGGTTCTCAGTTCTGTTCCATCAGTCTATGTGTCTGTCTTTGTACCAGTACCAGGCTGTTTTGACTACTATGGCTGTACAGTAGGTTCTGAGATCAAGTAGTGTGAGGCCCCCTACTTTTTTCTTCTTTTTAAATAATGCTTTACTTATCCTAGGACTTTTTTCATATAAAGTTAGTGATTAATTTTTCCATTTTGTTAAAGAATGTTGTTGGTGTTTAGATTGGGATTGCATTATATCTGTAGATCGCTTTGGGTAGAATTGACATTTTCACAATGTTGAGTCTTCCTATCCATGAGCATGGTATGTTTTTCCATTTATGTAGGTTTCTTTTGATTTCTTGAAGTAGTGTTTTACAGTTTTCTTTGTACAGGTCTTTTACGTCCCTGATCAGATTTATTCCAAGTATTTTATTTTTTTAGGAGTAATTATAAATGGGATTGTTTTCTTGATTTCCTTTTCGAAGTTCTCTTTGGTGGTGTATAGGAATCTAATTGATTTTTGTATGTCAATCTTTTATCCTGTTACTCTGCTGAATCTTTCTATTAGTTCTGGTAGTTTTTTTTGTGGAATCTTTGGGGTTGTCTATGTGTAGTGTCATACATCCGTGAATAAGGATAGTTTTACTTCTTCTTTTCCAACATGAGTGCCCTTTATTTCTTTTTCTTGCCTTATTTCTCTAGCAAGGACTTCCAGCGCAGTGTTAAATAGGAGTGGTGATAAAGGGCATCCTTGTCTTGTTTCCGTTCTAAGGGGGAATGCTTTCAGCCTCTTTCAGTTGAGAATGATGTTATCTGTTGGTTTTGTATAGATGCCGTTTATTGTGTTGAGGAATTTCAATTCTGTTCTTGTTTTGCGGACAGTTTTTATCAGGAATGGGTGTTGGACTTTATCAAATGCCTTTTCCGCGTTGATTGAGATGATCGTGTGATTCTTTTCATTTGTTGTATTTATGTGGTGGATTACGTCGATTGATTTTCTAATGTTGAATCATCTGTACATAACTGGTATGAATCTCACTTAGTCATGATGTATTTTTTTTTATAAGATGTTGAATTGTATTGGCTAGAATTTTGATAAGAATTTTTGCATCTATATTAATGAGAGATATTGGTCTGTAGTTTTCTTTTATTGTGGTGTCTTTGCCTGGCTTTGGTATCAGGGTTATGCTGGCTTCGTAGAAGGATTTCAGAAGTATCCCTTCCTTTTCTATGATCTGAAATATTTTTGTAGTACTGGTGTGAACTCTTCTCTGAATGTTTGATACAATTCTCCAGTAAAGCTGTCCAGGAAATTGCTTTTTTTTTGGTTGGGAATTTTTGTTATTACCTCTTAAGTCTCTTTTGTTATATGTCTGTTTAGGTTTTCTATCTCAGTTTGTGTTTGTTTAGGTAGGGGGTGTGTTTCTAGAAGTTTGTCCATTTCCTCTAGGTTCTCAAATTTGTTGGAATACAGTTTTTCATTGTATCCTGTTATGATCCTATTTATTTCTGCTGGGTCTGTTGTAATGTTCCCCAACCCATTTCTTATTTGTGTTATTTGCTTCCTCTCCTGTTTTTCTTTTGTCATTTTGGCCAGCGGTTTGTTGATTTCCTTGATCTTTTCAAAGAACTAACTTTTGGTAGTGTTGAGTCTTTCTATTGTTTTTCTGTTCTCTGTGTCATTTATTTCTGCTCTAATCTTTATTATTTCCTTTCTTCTGGTGGCTGTGGGTTTCTTTTACAGTTCTCTTTCTATCTTTTCAAGTTGTAGGGCTAATGTTTCAATTTTGGCTTTTTCTTCTTTTTTAATGTGTGCATTTATTGCTATAAATTGACCTTTCTGCACTGCCTTTGTTTTATCGTGAAGGTTTTGGTATGATGTGTTTTCATTCTCATCTGATTCTAGGAGTTTTTTGATTCCATCTTTTATTTCTTCTATTTCTTAGTTGTTTTTAAGCAGGGTGTTATTCAGTTTCCATG